TGGTGATGTTTTGAACATTTAGGTTTTGGAGAACACATTTAATAGGTTGAATGTTTGGATCATCCTATGGAAAAAGATTAAAGACGGCTTTAGATTTCACAAAATGTATTTTAAAATTTCGGATACTAGAAAAAAGTTGAATTCTAATAAGGTTCTTCATAATCGTGCAAAGCGCGGACAAGTTCAAGAATAATAATAATAATAAAGAATAAATGGCGCAACACACATTTTCAGAGCTAGTATACTTACTATACTAAAATGAAAATAATATTTCATGGAAAAAGAAAAAGGCCAAAGAAGAGAGCTCAGAGACGACAGAGTTAATGGAAGATTGAGAGGGCCAACTTGTCTTTGCCTGATTCTATTTTTATCTTTTTAATTTAATTTTCTGTTTGTTGTTTGTATATGTATGTTTGAAAGAAACATAATAATATGTGTGTTATTTTAGTATCAAATGGTTAGTCAGGTTAAGTTAATCTGTTTCTGTGGAATTTGTCTAACAACTCGTTGAATATATCCGTTGAAGCTCCATCATAATCAATTCAGTGGAGTAGCGGATGAGCTCAAAATGAACCCAACATTAAAGGATTTGGATTTAAGTCATAATCAGCTCAGTGGTCGTGTTCCTCCATCACTTGCAAATTTCATAAACCTTGATTTAGCAATAGAATTCTTTTCGACCATGGAAAGATTTGATTATATTGATCTTTCCTACAATCATATTTCATAGAGGAAAAGTATCAACGGTACCAAATTCACTCTTCCTTACCTAGAAGTTTTGTTGTTTGGAAAAATTACTATAATATACCACTTAAGTTTTTAATTAATCGTATATACATATACTTATATTTAATTACAAATATAGTTTCAAAATTACCAACTTAACAATTTAATTAATTTTCCAATTTCAGTTAATTATTCAGTTTCCGAATTTTCTCTCTCCCTCCTTATAAAAATTAGTGCCTACATTTATGGATACTTTTTTAATTCCACACGTTACTGCCTTTAATAAATATTTGTCTTTTTTTATGCAATCTGCCCAAAGTTAAAAACTTTTTGTATTTCCATCATTATTTCTTATTTTTACAAGTTGCTTATTTTAATATAATATTTATTTTTATTTTATTCCTTATATGACATAATCTAAGTAAGGTAAAAAGTAAAAACTTTTATTCTTTTCAATATTTCTCCTTCCCTAGTGAGTCAAGCTTTCTAGAGCTCTTCCTTCTCTCATCTTCCTTCGTTTCTCTATTTCTCCATTGTTGAGTTTTATAATTCTTGCACCATTGTTAACTCCTTGTTGTTCTTCATCTTCGACTTCTTAGTTTATTATATTGTTTTAGATGGATAGGACATCGCGAAAAAGCCCAAGGCTAAACAAACCAGTTATTGTAATTGATAGCACCCCCCACCCCCACCCCCCACCCCATCA